GCATAAGTCTGCATATCACTTGTGTTCTGTAGGTTCTAATCCACAATTGTGGCTTATTTATTTCCTTTTTAATTTCATAGTTTTAATTGAAGAGACATTTCATCTCTTTATTCATAGAATTGTAAGATAGCTATTTTAAGTGGGATTGCTGTCTTGGTTTGTATTTCAGAAAATTAGCCCATGGCATCTGAGAATGCTAACTGCTTTTTGTATGTTGATTTTGTATTCTGTAACTTTGTTGAAGTGATTCATTAGTTCTGGTAGTTTTCTGATGGATAGTTTGTGGTTTTCTCTATGTAATATCATATCTGCAAACAGACAATTTTGCTATACTTTAATTTCCTTTGATTTGCTTCTTTCTGTTTCTCTCCATCTCACTTCTAGTAGTATACCATGGTTGATTCCTCGATTTGTTTTCTGTTGCTGCAATTACCTGAGGTATTTATAAAGAAAATAAGTTTTATAGATTCATGGCTTGGGAGTCTGGGAAGTCAAACATTGGGTGGCTGCATCTAATGAGCACCTCGTGCTTCTTTAAATCATATTGGGCATGATTTATTGTCCTGGCACACACTGCTAGTGGAAGCATCTGTGTAGGATGTTGTAGTCAGACTAATGCTGTTTTTTTTTTTTTGGTACCAGCTCACGACTTCGTGTTTGCCAAGCAGGCATTTATACTGCTGAGCTAAACCCCCGGCCCTCAGACTAACATTATTAAAAAACATACACACTAAATTTAGTGGCTTTTAAAATAGTATTATTCAGTGATACTTTTTAATAAATAAAACTTCGGCGCCGGGTTAAATTGAAGTGATTTATCTGAGAATACCTAGCTATGAGAGAGAAGGTTGGTAAGACATTCTTTCTATTATGCTTGTGGTTCTCAAACTTGTATAAGAGTCACTTGCAGAGCTTAATAAAATACAGATTCTAGAGTCCTACTTCCTAGAGAAAATCTGATTAAGTAGTTTTACACAGAGTGTAAATACTGGTATGTTTAACAAGCACCTCAGGTAAATCTGGGTCAGAGAGATAAGGATCTCAGTATAAATAACACTTTTAATATACAATGCTGCCTTTTGTGAGTCCGTAATAGTGACTTGTAGAGTTGTAGGTCAGGTCCCAGGCTGGCCTCAAACTTGGGATTCTTTGCCAGTACTCAAGAGTAGCAGGAATTGTAGTTAGTTTTCAAGGCTGATTATTTTCTGGTCTTAATTTTGGAGGAAACACAATATAAAGTTATTAAGACAGTTGCATGTTCAGTAGATCAGTGTGCAAAGTTAAGAATGAGGAGGAGCTGGGGATTTAGCTCAGCGGCATAAGCACTTGCCTTGGAAGCAGGGAGTCGTGAGTTCGATCCCCGGTACCGATAAAAAGACAAAAAAAAAAAAAAAAAAAAAAAAAAAATGAGGGCAGTTTCCTGTGTATACAATACTTACCTCAGCTGATTAATAATTTCATTATGTCTTTCAGAGTCTAGACACTAAAAGTAAAACAAGGTTTATTCTTTCTGATTTTCCCTTTAACAGGTGTACAATTGCATTTATATGTTACATTTAATAGTTGTATCACTAGTCTCTTTTAGTGTAGGAGAATCCTTTTACCTTTTATGGAATAGAAGAGGTACTAACATTAGCTTATCATTTAGTCCAGGGCAATTTTATAGGATGCATTTTAAATGTGCTTATTTTTTTTAATGTTATCATTTGACTTATCACTAGCACCTCTTTTAGGTCTAGACCCTGGATTAGATTTAGGAGTAACATTTTTGCACGTGTTCTTATGAATGATAATATGAAGTTCGTCTTTCATCACACCAAGAAGCTTGCAGTCTGACATTACTATTTTTGATCCTTAGTTTGATTATTTGGTTTAGATAGTGACTGGTTAGCAAATTAGCAAGAATCTTTTTTAAAAAAATAATTGATTTAGATACATAGGTTCATATGATTTAAATACATATTTCAGTATCTCAGTAGAACTCCTAGAGTGCTTGTATTATGGATGTACACTACTACAGCTGGAGGTATACTGTTTTATAGTAAAGTTTTCCCAAGTAGCAGGTGTACATTTTTTAATGATAAAAAGTGTAATAGAGATTTGTAAATTAGTATTATTTATTTTCATTATGAACTATTATGCATTGTTCATAATTATTTGTGCTGTATGTACTTTTCTGTAACTGGTAACATAGTAAACTTGTTTACATCAGGATCACCACAAATACATGGCTATGTCTTGAGCTACAAGTGCTACGGTGACACTAGGTAGTTATTTTTCTTATGAGATCACCATTGTATATGCATTCTGCTATTGATCAAAATGTTATTACACAATACATGACTGTACATGAATCTTTGGCTTCTTACTGCTTCCAACATGCTCTTTGGGAACTGGGCATGCAGCTCAGTGGTAGAATGTGTTCGTACCTTGCATGAGGCTCTAGGTTCCATCTCCAGTGCTGAGAACAAACAAACCACAAGAAACTAAGCCTTTGGCACTTTGATTTTGATGTATTTTACTGTAGATGTGTTTGTGTTTATCCTTCCTGAAACCTGTTGAGTATAATTATCTCTTCTGATCTGTGTGTGTGTGTGTGTGTGTGTGTGTGTGTGTGTGTGCAGGAATTGAACTCAGAGTTTCTTCTTCTTTTTTTTTATTCCCATTTTATTGGTACCGGGGATCAAACTCACGATCCGCCTGCTTGCAAGGCAGGTGCTTATGCCGCTGAGCTAAATCCCCAGCCCCAGTTTCTTCTTTTTTTAAAGAAACAGGTTGTCACCATGTTGCTAGACTGGTCTTAAATTCCTGGTCTTAAATAATTCTCTCACCCAGCCTTCCAAGGGCTGGAACTATAAGTGCACAGCACTATTTCTGGCTTGAATTTCTTGACTCTGTAGATTATTTACCTTTTATCAAATCTGAGATGTTTTTCACCATTATTTCTTATTTAAATATTCTATCTGCCTGTTTTTTTCTTTTCTCTTTGCTAGTATTCGCATCGTATGTATGTCATTATGCTTGAGTGTTACACATATCTTTTAGGCTTTATTCATGTTTCTTCATTTTTTGTGTGTGTGCTTATCAACTGAATCTCTCGTTTAGCTGAATCTCTCGTTTTTTTTTGGAACTGAGTATCTCACAACCTTGTGCTTGCCAGGCAGGTGTTTGTGTCACTGAACTAAATTCCCAACCCTCAACTGAATATCTTTTAAGTTCTATAATTCTTTCCTCTGTCTGCCAAGAGTCTCAAATTAATTTTTCATTTCAGTCATTGTAATCTTCACCTCTAGAATTTCCATTTGATCCTGTTTGAAATAATTTCTCTTTATCTGCATTTTCTATTACAAATTTTAAATTAGTATTTGTTTACAATATATGGTAATTACATTCGTCTTGGGGGGTTGATGCTTGTACACATTGCATCTTAATAATTTTTTTTGTCTTTCCCTCTTCTAACAGTCTCTGTCATTTGACACAGTCCTAGTTTTGTTTTTCCATTTTATTTTAGCTCATGAACATACTTAATGATTGATAGACTTTATTTATTAAGTTTGATGTCTGTCATCAAACAGGGACAGTTTCTGTTAATTTTTTTCTCGAATGGCAATGCTTTGTTGTTTCTCTGCATATATTGCAATTTTTAAACTGAAATGTGGACTATATTCGTTGTATGATATGATCACTCTGGAAATCAGGTTTTCCCACTTAATAGTTTCTTTGTTCATTTCTTTTCATGAAATACCTAGAAATGGGATTATTGGGTCATATTTTTCTAAAAAATGGTCAAATGGGTTTTTCCAAGTGGTTACATGATTTTGTGTCCTATTCAGTAATATAGGATAGTTCCAACCCTTTCTACTCAAAATTTCTCGATACTGTCTTTTGGATTTTAGCTACATTAGTATGTAAAAGTTATATCTTTCATTCTTTGCTTTCTATTTCCCTAGTGACTAACAATGAACATTTTTAATGTTCTTATTCATCATGTATATATCTTCTTTGATTATATTTCTGTTAATTTTGGTTGTTTTTGATTTTTTAAAATTGAGTTTTCTACATTCTTATATTCTGATTCCAAGTTTTTCAATTAGATAGGTTCATAGTATTTTTCTACCTATCTGTGGTTTGCCTTTTCATTTTCTTTACTATCTGACAAAGGGCAGTTAACAGCTTTTTTGCTATTACATCTTACTGTTTATTTAATTAGGTCACAAGTAGGTTTTATTTTTTCTAGAATAGTAATAGATATTCATTGAAAGTCACATGTAATTTAAAAATTTGTAGTATCCATGCTAAAAAAGTATAAAGATGTGAGTGTAATTAATTTTATTACTCTAATAGAATAAGTAAATGATTATATGTGATTAACATAACTAATGTAAATAAGCCAGTTTATTAATTGTATCATTTAAACATTTAATAAGAAAATTATCAGTGAAATAGTGTACATTTTAATTTTTGTACTAAGTCCTACCTGTTGTGTGATTTACACTTAGAGCACATTTTCACTTAGCTGAACTGTATTTCAAGGACTTACTTGCTAATGTATCTAATGACTAATGAATCATACAACACAGATGTACAAGTTTTATAGTTTTAGATTTTTATTTTAGGTTATTATTGTGAGTTAAATTTTACATGCAGTATGAGTTTTGAGTTGAAGTTCAGTTATTTCGATATAGTTTTATAAACTTTAATAAAATTGTTCTTGACAATTAGGCATCTAGAGTTTATCTTGAGCTCCAAATGTCAGTGTTTAAATATATTCTTTCTAATTGTTTTCATTGCTTTGTATTTTGTAATAATATGTATAATATAAATTTACTTTATAATTAACAATTTTCAAACCTTATGTGTAAAATGCTTACATATGTCAGCCATTTAGTGTCTTGGCTTTATTCCTGTACCTATTTGAGCTTAAATTGCATATAATTCTGTTTACATTTTGGTCTAACCTCATTTCTAAAATTATATCTAAAGTGTTTATTTGCTTTCAGGCATGTACTGGCATTGAGAATATTGATGAAGCTATTACATTGCTTGAACAAAATAATTGGGACTTAGTGGTAAGTACTTTTTAACTTTTCCCACCTTTATTCAGATTTTATGAAATCTTGAATGTTTTTAATATTCTTTGCAGGGGCTCAGCATACTATAGTCTACCTATAACTTGTCTGAATGAATAAAATGTTAATTGTCGTATCTTTTAACATGAAGTCATATTTAATTCAATATTAAATTATTATGAATACTTAGAAAACAAATGATTTTTAAAATTGTTCTCTTATTTTATTGTTTATTATGATTTACCTTCCCATGTAGTATTTTGGTGGAGATGCTTGAAAGGAGAGAAGTCAGATTTGCCTGTCTGAGTAGTTTCGTTTGATGTTTTCAGAACCTTCCCTGGAGCTCTCACTGATTGTTATTAAAGAAGGAGCATTTTGTTGTGACTTCTGTATGATTTTGAGGCAATTTATCACAAAGGTGGCTTAATGTTTTTTAGTTCTTTTTAGGCAGTAACTCAAAAGGCACAGCATAATACTAAACATTCATCTGTTGCAAAGCAAACAAAAAATAAATTATATTGGAGAAATACTGGTTGTGTTAGGATGACACAGATGTCCTTTGAAGCCCTTTAAATGCTATAGAAAATTAAAATTGTAATTTTGAGGAAGTGCTAGTTTTCAAAAGTTGAAATTTAAAATATGTATTTATAGAAGTATAATTAGTATGTGGGTGTATAACATGCTTATGTAGGTAGTTCTTACTTATCTGTGTGCTTTATGTACGTCTGTGACTATTAATTTTTTTAATGTAAAAAATTTTCAGCTTATGCTTATTGTAATAAAAGAAGATAAAGAAATTTTAGAAGAAAACATGTTACAGGTTTAAGGATCTCTAATCAAAAAAACCTCAAATCAAAAGTGCTTCAAAATTTGAGTGTTCACATGACAAGAAAAAGTTTTGAATTTTGGGGCATTTTGGATTTCAGATTTTTAGATTAGGGATGCTCAATCAAAAAAGTGTATAGAAAACCCCAGAATCTCACATTCTGAGATCGAAAGTGCTCCAGGTCCAAAGCAATTCTAATAACATTACCCAACTTGAAATGATCTTTAATCCCATCACTCAGGTACTTGTTTTGAATTTTTAGGTATATTATTTCAGGCATATAATTAGAGGATTAAACTTTTTTTGAAATACAAATAAGGTGATTTTATATGTTTATATTTTTAATCTTTTTTCACTTAACAGCATATCATGTATCTTTCCTATTTATCTAAATGTGACTTTTCATCATTTTAAAAAACATTAAATAGTATTTCATTTTGTAGTTGTAATATAATTTTACCAGTTGTTCTTATGTCATTGAATATATAAAAGTTTTGTGGTAGTTTGCTATTGTAGGCATTATTGTAGAGAACATTCTTGTATATACATATTACATATTTAACATGTTATTTTCCAGTTGAACTTGTGAGTCAAATTACATATATATTTACTAACCAGGTACTCTTTTGAAATGGTCTTTTTTGTTAAAATACTGGCTCTTTATATTTGTATTTCAGCATGAAAGGAAATTTCGATATGGGAATCGAACTCAGAGCCTTGTGCTTGCCAGGCAGGCACTTATGCTACTGAGCTATACTTCTAGCCCTTAAATACATATTTTTAACATCTGTGGCGTATGTCAATAATACACGGTGTTAGTCAGCAACATCATGATTTCGTGATTTCTATGTCATTGATGGGAGAAAGAGGGAGCAGCTTATTTGTAGTGATGCCTTCAAGCTTCTTGTCCTGAAACTTAATTTTGCAATAGCAAGTGCATTGCTTTATTTAGTTTGTATATTTTGAAAGTATTTTTGGGGTTTGGTTCTGATGAGAGGGATAAAGAATAGAGAAAAGGAAGATAGTAGATTAGGAATAATAAATTATAAGACTATCATGTGTGAATTACCAGTTTTGGAGATAGATGTGAATTCTTTCCTTAGCTCCTTTCTACTGGTCCTTGCTCATTAGTTTTATTATTATTTTTTTCTTTTTTTTTGGAGATACAGTTTCATTGTGCAGTACAGATTGGGTTGAACTCACTTTGTAGCCCAGACTAGGCCTTGAACTTTCAGTGATCCTCCTACCTCAGCCTCCTGAGTGATGGAATTTCAGGCATGTGCCTCGAAATCGCCTCATGCTCATTAGTTTTGAAAGTTACTGACCGTGAATTTCCCCATATAATATTGAATTATTTATTTATTTATTCATTTATTTATTTTAGGTGTTTTGAGACAAGGTCTTGCTATGTAGTTCGGGCAGGCAATGAATGAACTTACTATGTAGCCTAGGCTGTCCTCTAACTCTTGACAACCCGCATGCTTTAGCCTCCTGAGTGCTGGAATTACAGGTGTGTGCCACAATGCCCAGTTTAATGTTGAATAATTAAATGATAAGCTGATCTCTATTTTTGAATTACTTGAAATGCATTCTCACAGTAGCAAAAGCATTAAGCTATGTTTCATATTCTTGGTTTTTTTTTGTCTTTTTTTCATTTTTATTGGTACCGGGGATCGAACTCACAACCGCCTGCTTACAAGGCAGGTGCTTATGCCGCTGAGCTAAATCCCCAGCTCCATGTTTCATATTCTTCAACTTTGCTTCTTTTGAAATGTGTCTCCTGGCTGGCCTTTCTTTGCAAATATTTCATTTTTATTCATAACAAAGATTTTAAGTGCTTTATAACTTCCTTGCACTTTAAATTATTTCATGTCTCCTGTTTTCATACGTTGTTCACATTGTCACAGTGTTTTAAAAATGAAACTTAAAAGCCGGGCGTGGTGGTTCACGCCTGTAATCCCAGCACTCGAGAGGCTGAGGCAGGAGGATTGTTGCGAGTTCCATGCTAGCCTGGGTTACAAAGTGAGCTTGAGGCCAGCCTGAACTGCATAGCGAGACCCTGTCTCAAAAAGACCAAAAAAAAAAAAACCAAATAGACTTAAGGTGGGTATAGTGGCGCATGCCTGTCATCCCAGCAGTCATGAGACTGGAGCAGTAGGATTGTATATTTGCAGATAGGCTGAGCTATATAGTTAGGGCAGCCAGGACTATGTAGTGAGACTGATTCAGAAACAACAACAACAAATGATTGAAGAAAAAAGGAAACATTTTGAATAGCTCATTAACTTGTTAAATCTTTTATGGAAGTTTTTTTATGGTAGTCTCTATTTTGCCTGTGCATTGTATTTTGTGCTTGTCAATTACTGTTGTCTTTCCTGTGCTTGTTATGGACCTTATGGGATAGTTTGTATAATTTAAGGTTTTAATATAGAGTGTCTAGTTTTATATCTCCTGTTTACATCACTTATGCTTTCCATCCATTGTTCCTGTGCATATTTTATTAGAAGGTGTAAAGGATAATGAGCTAGGTATTATAATCAAGCATTGTGATGAGCATGAAAAATTCTAATAATAAAAAACTCAGTGAACACTAAATATAGATTTTTACTGTAGAGGCTTAACAAATGTAATAATATATAGTCTCTAAGTTAGCAGCAGTAATAATATATAGTCTCTAAGTGTCTTGTTCTGTTTTATGTTGCTATAACAAAATACCTGCAATTTGGTAATTTATAAAAAATAGAAGTTGCGTTCAGCTTCCTTTTTCTATAACAAATATCTCAGATGATCAGTTTAAAAATAGGAAAGGTGTATTTCTGGCTCATGGTTTTGGGCATTTCAGTCCATGATTGGTTGGCTCCTTTGGTTTTAACATACAGCAGTGCATGGTAAATTATGTTGCTTACCTCATGGCAACTAAGAAATAAAAGAGAGGGGAGAGTGAGGGTCCTAATATCTCAACTAAGGGTATATCACCAATAACATAGTCTCCTCCACAAAGCTCCACTTGGTAAAGGTTCTGGAGCCTTCCAGTAATGTCTTGTATTGGGGACCAATGCTTCAATACATAAGCTTTTGGCCAGGCATGGTGGCATGTGCTTGTAATCCCGGTACTTGGGAACCTGAGGCAGGAGGATCAGTGTGAGTTCAAGGCCAACCTGGGCCACAAAGTAAGTTCAAGGCAAGTCTATACTGCATGGTGAAACCCCATCCTCCCTCTGCCCCCTAAAAAAGAAGGACTTTTGGGAGACATTCAGGATCCAAACTGTGTTTTTGTTTCTTTGTTTTGAGATGGGGTCCCCTTATATAGTTCAGGCGGTCCTTGATCTGTGTAGTCCAGGCTGGCCTTGAACTCATAGTGATTCTTCTGCCTCAGCCTCCTAAGGATCTAAACTATAGCAGAAATTTATTTGACTCAGGTTTCTTTTTTTTTTTTTTTTTTTTTTGGTGTGTCTTTTTGAGACAGAGTCTCACTGTGCAGTTCAGGCTGGCCTTGAGCTCACTTTGTAGCCTAGGCTGGTCTTGAACTCGCAACAATCCTCCTGCCTCAGCCTCTCGAGTGCTGGGATTACAGGTGTGAGCCACCACACCCGGCTTGACTCAGGTTTCTTGAAGCTGGGAAATCTGCAGGCTTAGCCCTGGTGGGGGCTTTTTGCAGCATCATAGCATGGTAGAGAGCATTACATGGTTTAATAGACCTAGCATGCTGGAGAGAGCGTGTTTTAATAACAAAACCATTCTTTCTACCCATTAAATAAGTAATCCATGAATGAATAAATCCATTAATGAGGGCAGAGCCCTCATGAACTTGCTACCTGAAGGTCCCACCTCTCTAATACAGTTAGCATAGGACTCTGAGGCTTAAATTTCGCACACAGGAAGTTAGAGGACACATTCAAATAATGCCACTGAGTTTAAGAAATATGGTTAAAAATAGATGCATTGTCTCATGGGTCTTTATCACATAAAAGGTATTTTTTTTTTCTAAAAATACAGCCCATTTTCAGGGGTTCTTAACATTAGTAACTTTTCTTGATCATCTTGTACATTATTTTTATTATTTAGGTTACTGTCCACCAAGAAATACACCCAAATTCTCTGACTTAAGTACTCCATAGTTGATTGTATTTTGGAGAAACTGGAGAATTAAGTTATGTATGCTAAAATTGGAAAA